GTAGCTGTGTATGAGCCAATTTTCTCACTCCTGAAATATGGATATTTTTCTCAATGACACAGACTCTCAGAAGAACTGGAGAGGAGTCTGTCAAGTCAAGCTGATGCAGAAAAAATGAGAATTGGAGTACAAACCTAAAATGTGGAGTTCCTACAAAAACTGCCACAAATAGCCAGACCTGTAACTTTTTCCATGTTAACCAAAATCATTATGTTGCAGCTACAGCTCATCTAGCAGGAGCCAAGTTAACAGTAATAGCTGTTAGGACAAGAAAAGGAAACCCAGTGGAAAATTTTCTGACAGCTGCTTCTGAATATTTGAGACCCGCTCAGCTGAATGCAGGAGCTGATGAAAGACCTTGTGAGAATCTGAATATTCAAAATGAAACTGWTAAATTATTGGAAGAATAGTCTTTGACTAGTCCTACTTCCAGGGGCAGACAAATGTAACCTGTGAAAAGTGAATATTAACCCTTGATTTTATGTAAAAGTGACAAAAAAGTTTTGTAACAAAGTAACAAAGATTTTGTTGCAATTGTTATAATAATAATAATAATAATAATAATAATAATAATAATAATAATAATAATAATAATAGTAATAATAACCATTATTAGTCAATGAGATAAATGCACATAAAAAAAGGTTCAGTTTGACCCAATACTTAAAATGAATGAAATTATGACATTTCTGCTTGCAAATTTTGACATTTTTGTGGCAAAAGTTTTCAAGGAAGATTTCAAATGAGAGCATTCAGCACACTGTGCACACTGAAATCTGCTGCCAGCTGGAGAGTGGTCACCAAACCACCGACTGAGCAAACAAAACACCCATTGCCTTCCTGACTCAGAGCCAGGATAGCCGGAGCTGCTGATGGTTAATCTCTCTGTGGACTTCTCATTATTTAATTTACTAAGTGGTGTTTGATTAATGAAAAAAAAAAAAAAAAAAAAAAAAGCCCAACCAGCAGCATAGCCAAGGGTAGAAGGGGAAAGGTTTGTTTGCCTCCTGAGCCCTCCCGTGACAGATGCGCGGCCACGGAGCCTGCTGAGTACCTTCCTCCTTGTCGATGATGCCCAGCGTGCTGGCATCCCGGATGAACAGATGCCCGTTGCTGAACACGCCGAAGGTGCCAGCGTCCACGTGGGTGAAGTAGAAGAAGTAGTTGAGGTCGTTGGAGCCCATGGAGCGCAGCACGGCCAGCAGCTGCAGGGCCAGGTCCGCGGCCACCTCGGGCGCCGCGCCGTAGAAGTCGCGCAGGGGCCGGGTGCTGGCGCTGACCACCAGGCGCCCACAGGAGCCCAGGTAGCGCGGGAAGGGCCAGCCCTCCACATCAGGGAAGATCTGCCAGAGAAAGTGGGAATGGGGGGGATTTACCTCTGCCCTCTGCCCGTGGACCCACCTCCCTACTCAGTGATCTCTCCAAGCAGCAGGGTTGTGTTTTCATTTCAGCCTGTAACCCTTCGTCACCCCAATCTGGCCTCAGCAGCTGGGAACGGTACTTACTACCCCATCCTGGAGGAGTTATGATGCATTTTGTTTCTTTTAGTCCTTTTTTTTTTTGTAATGGAGGAAGAATCTCTTACTCTGTAAGAGAGACTAACTGGAAAGCCCAAGATAATAATAGGTTTCAGATTCATGAAAATTTTAGCCACAGAACAGCTAATTTTAGGTGTCTTTGATGGGTCCCTCATGAGCACTGAACAGATGAAGTCACAGCTTGGAGTTGAGGTGGGGCTAAAGCAGTTTTTGCTAATTAGTGAGAACTGCCAGGCTCTTTTGAAAGAGATTTGCAGTCCCAGGGGCAGAAGTGGTGGGTGTTTCCTCCAGCAGGGACACCTGGGCTGGGCTCCCTGCATCCCTGAAGCTCATGCCAGCAGCATGGTTATCCCAGGTGGGGTGATATACCAACTCTGTGACTGCTGAGCTATGSCAACACAAAGCTTTCTGTCATTTACATTGAAACCTATCTGTCTGCCCAGCTCCTCAGACCYTGCCAAGGCATTATGAACTCATCCAGTTATGTGTTTAAGGTTGTTTCTCCCTTCTGCTGTGAAGACAGTTTGGGAAACCATGTAAAATCCAGCCTTTTCTCTCTGGCATATTTTTATCACTTCTTTCAGCTGCATTCCCATGTCTTCAGAGTGCTAAGGGCCACAGCTTCATGTCCCAGTGACCCATAACTGGGGTGGCTGAAAGGTCTACAGGAGCATCCCAGAGCACCATTCCCCACCATGCAGAGCCCTCTGAGCTGCTGAGTGCAGTGGTGGCCTGGGGCCAGAGATGGATGATGCTGCCACCGCCTCTTTTCTTTTGTGGAATCATGAAGAGCTTCAAGAAGCACCAATGAGGACTAAAGATGGGTTGGGGAAAGGTGAGGGTATTCCCTTGGAGATAGAAGGGAAGAGAGGAGCAGCATGCCAGTCAGGCCAGAAAGGGTCCAGGGGAGGGGTGTGAGGCCTCCCAGATCACAGCCTTCAAACTCAAGAGTTCTGAAACCCAGAGCCAGTTACCAGCAGCACACAAATGGAAAAGCACAGCCCTGGCACATGGAGCATGTGAAATCATGCTCTTTATCTTTCATAAACAGGCTGTGATTTTAGGTAATGCATTAGCAATGCAAACCTTACACTTTGAGGTATTGGGGATGTGTAAAACCTTGGCTTTCACCTGGCTCTCGTGCAATAATCTGCCTGGGTTCTCATTTATTTAAGGGGCTGGGCATCCCTATCTGTCCACAGCTTCACAGATTGATACAGGAAGCACCTCATGAGTCTGCCTGATTTCAACCACCTAAACCCATAGAAGAAACACACTTTTTGAAGGCCAGAGAGTGTGACAAAAGCCAGGGCTGGGACTCCTCTGTTCCTGGGGATGTGTGCCAGGGYTGGCTTGCCATGGATTGTGGGGTGCTGTTTGAAGCTGGGGCAGGGTGGCACGTACCTGCAGCAGGATGGGGTGTGAGTTCACTGCCAGGGTGTAGAGCAGGCGCAGCTTGTCCCGGTCCGTCAGGTGATCCATGTAGATGCTGCCGGCATCCGGCACCTCCGCGTAGCGCCGCACGATCCTGTCCAGGAGGCGCTGGGATGGGCAGCGCAGCATCGGGCTGGACAGGCCCTGTCAGAGGGGGACACATGGCAAGGGTGTCTAATTCCAGCCTGAGGTGTTGGGATGTGCCTGGATCATGCTGGGGGTACAGGAACTGCTGCGGCACAGCTCCCAAGGATATGGGCACACGGGGATCGCAGCAGCAAAATCCTGCTAGGAAGAGTCCCGGATCCCAGCAGCAAAATCCTGCTAGGAAAAGATCTGGATTCCAGCAGCAAAATCCTGCTAGGAAGAGTCCCGGATCCCAGCAGCAAAATCCTCCTAGAAAAAAACCTGTATCTCAACAGCAAAACCCTCCCAAGAAAAGACCCACGCCATCCAAAAATGCCAGTTCACAACTCAGGTTTCAAGAATGGCCCCCATTCCTGGGCTCTGAAAACCTCATGTTCCCCTGACTGCATGGCTCCACACTGTGGGACTCCTCCCTCAGCCCGGGTTTCCAGCCCTGGCATCCCTGGTGGAGGCCCTCCAGTTGTTAGGACAGTGAGTCACTTCCCTCATTAAATAATCTTGGGATCACTTCGCTATTTGCTTAACCTGTGAGCAGCTTTCTTGGAAATACTATTTGCTAAGGTCAGTAAACATGCTTTAAGAATGTAAATAAACATTGTGTGTGAGTGTAAGCACAGGATATGTTCTCTCTCTGATAAACTCATGCATTAACTATCAAAACCAAATAGGCTCTGCTTATTTTTTGTAAATGTTAGCAACAAATAGACAACCGTTGGCCTAATGGAGTCAGTTATTACTCTATTTCACCCTTCAGATTCAGAGGTTTGGCTTTTAAWATTGAATGAGCAATCTATGGATGGGATAAATGGGATAGAAATTTATACCTTCATAGTCAAAAAAAATAGCCTTTTAAAATGTTTCAGCTAGCTTTCCTTAATAACCAAGGAGAGAGGATGTATGGAGGGTTGCCCACAGTGGCACAGAAGCACTGCCCTGCCCTGCCTCTGCTGGGGAAGGGAATCACGGTTTTTTTTTCGTCTGTTTGTTAAAAATTGTCCCAATAGCCAAATTTACTCCTTTGTATTTTGTTTATAATTTGATGGTTGGGAGATATGCTTCAGAGGAAAGGGCAGTGGAGCTCACGTTGCTCCCCGCCGTCCTTCACGCTGAGAGCAAAGATTTGACGCAGCATCTCCCCAGGTCATTTGGAAACTCTGAGGTAGGGSCCTCTCAGCCCTTCCTGTGCGAGCTGTTCATTTGGCAGAAAACACTGAATTACCCAGCCCTGACAAAGAAATAAAGGAACATGGAAAAGACAAGGATGACACTTTCCCAGTTGGAGGTGGAAAGCAGGGAGTGGATGTTCCATGTCTCCTCTGTATCCCCGTTTGCCTCAGTGAGATCCCAAACACTTCTTCCTTGGCCATCAGTTACACAAAACAAGTCCTAAATGCCAATAGCAGGTCAAAACYACCTGAGAAACTTAACCTAAACTGAAGTGCTGTTTTGCAACAACCAAAAAACTTTTTTCTCCAAAAAGAATAAAACATTTGTCAAATATAATTCTACTCAGTTCCAGCTGCAAGTCTTCATACACTTCTCTCTTCTGGTGTAGGCTTATCAAGGAAATATTTTTCAATTAATTGTCTAAAATCATAGAAGGGGTGCAGGGGAGGGATGGTTATGGATTTCTGTCTTGCAGCACTTGCAGGAATGTTGTGGCTGACTCTGTCACTTTCCCTTTGGAGCAGAAGTGAGAAAAAATGAGCAGAACAGAGCTGTGTTAAGAGAGAGATAAACGCTGGAGAAAGTCTCTTGCAGCTCTGTGTGTGTGCAAATATTTGCAGCTGAAGTTAGAAAGCCTTGCTGCCTCCAGGAGTCTGCAATGCAAAAGCTGACATCCCGGAGAGTACATAGTGGGAACATAAATCACAGCAGCAGAGAAGTCAGAGGGGGTGTAATTGGGATTTTTCTGAGGTCAGAGCTCATCCTCTTAACACAGATGTGGGCACACGCTGCTCGTGGTGCTCACGGCTGCTGGATTCCTGGGGAGCTGTCTCCAGCACACCAGGGGATGTGTGGGAGCACAGGAGCAGGGCTGGGTGATGACATCTTTGTATCGAACATTGGTGCAGCTTTCTACCCTTTAATGAAGCTCTGATGCACAAAAACTGGGCAATGGAGCCTTTGGATTTCGGCAGAGATGGTCAACAAAGTAAAGCTCTGCATGTGCTTGACTGTTTCAGTGCAAGGGTCTCACCTTCCTAAAGACTGAGGGAAACATCTCTACAGCAAAAAAGGAGCTGGAGTTGTAAAATAGACTGACAAAAACAGTCAATAGAAGAAAATTATGAGGAGCACATACTCGAAACACTGGAGATACMGATTTATCTGAGAATATTTTAAGTCCTTTGCAGAGACTTATCACCCCGGAGAAAAAGACCTGACAGACAACCTGACACATTGTTTGTGATTGGTATGGAAAGCTTCTCAATTACTTTGATTAAACACCCACACTTCTGTATCTGATAGTGGGTACTTCCTGCAAAGCCTGAACTMACCTGTGATTTTTTTAACCCCTACTATGCAGTATATGGTGAATTTTAAACTCCATGTGTTCATAAATATGCGTATGTAGTGCAGACACACCCAGAATTCACTTGGATGTAAACACAACTTGTGGAGGACAAGTTCTTGCTCTGCRTTCTCTTCAATCAGCCCAAGGAGGGATGGCCCAGGTCAGGAGCATGGCTGCCTCCTGCCCTAGGAGCCACCACCTGGGTGTAGCTTCACCAAACTGCCAGGTTTGGGGTTGGCTCCAGGAGGAAACACTTGGAAGAAGGTGTCAAAGCACCCACAGCTGGCCATGTGAATCCAAGGCTTTCCTTCACTCACAAAAGAAGGAAGGTAAGGATGCTCTGAGAAGCTCATCCCCCCTGCCAGCAGGTGGAAGTCTCCAGTGATGAGGTACCAGGTCTGGGAAGCAGCAGCTCTGGGAGGCAGCTCTGGGAGCCCCACAGTGCCCATCCCTCCCTAAGATGAGCAAACTGACAGGTCAGTGAGCTGCTACCCATGTGCTCCAACACAGATGTGGACTGGACTCAGAGGCCAAATATCCAGGGTGCCRGTGGATCTGCTGCAGGCAGGACAAGGTGCTGCTCAGTAGCTGCTGGTCAGTAGTTTCAAACAGCCCATCCTAGAGAGAGGGGCTGCAGATGGTGGCTTTTCACCTCGGTACTGCTTCCCTCTGTCTACCTTCAGCATTTTCCAGGCTGTGCTTTGTAGACAGAAYTGTAAATTAGCCCTGTGGGTGATCTGTGCTGAAACCAGCCTGCTTTGTTGCCCCTCCAGCAGGAAAGCACCTGGTGTGGTTTGAGGTGATGAGCTCCTGGGCTAAGCAGCGGGTGGCTGGGGCGGCCGAGCCCCAAGCTGAGTCCTGCTCATCTCTGAGGCATGCTGGGTTCTAAGACTGAAGACTTTGCTGCATCCAATAAAGATTTTCATCGTGGTGGGTGAAATAATCACTGTGGCAGGCGGCTCAGCTGATGGCTGGGCAGGCAGGGCAGGCAGTGYAAAGTGGATAAACATTACTCCATGGTCTGTCATTCTGATTCAGGCACGTTATGGTTTGTCATGATGCTCTGTCTATCAGACAGAATTACCTGGGCCCGTGAGCTGTGTCCCAGTGCTACTGTGTGAGATAAACTGCAGGGAAGGGAGAACAAGCCCTGCTGTGAGACTGCATCTCTGTGAAGCAGGGTGTACATCGTGCCRGGCATTGAGAGAGGGGTGCTGTTTACACTTCTGAAAAGAAGGAGAGTGGTAAAATAAAGCCACGAGAGCAGTGCTTCAGGTTAGTGTTTGCAGTGACACACGGCACCCCCAAAAACTCCTCTCCAGTGGCTCAGGCTGGGTTGCCAACACACGTCTGGCCAGCAAACACTGCAGAGGGGYTGGGGGCAGACAGAGGCACTGGTTTACACTGGGAGGAAGGGGATCCCCATCTCTGTGGGGCTGGATGGACCGGAGAGGTCATGTTATAAGCTGTGGTGGTCAACCAGTGGGACAGGGAGGGGAGTGTATTACATTTAGACTCACACACAGCATGWCTGAAATGTTGCTGTTACTGTCTGTTTTCTCATTTAAACCATTGTAAGATCAGAAGCCATTTCACAGAGCACATCCCTGACCTTAAAAACTGATTGCTGCTGAAATTTGGTGGTGGGGAAGTCGGTCCCAGGGTGTCTGGATCACTATGTTTCTCTGTATATTCAAATCTATATGCTGTTAGGARGGATTTATATTCCATTTTTTGTTTCTCTGATTGATTTACAGAACTGAAGGACCTTGAAAACATGAGCAGAGCAATCCTGAGGCTGGTGTGCAAAGGTCTGGGCCTCCCTGCAGCCTCSTCTGCCCTTTCCAACTAAAGAGCTGCTGGGGCTGATGAAATGTCCCAGGGAGTTTGTCACTGCRCACGTTCCCCCAGGCTGGCCCTGAACTCACTTCAGAGGTGCCCCGGCATCAGCTCAGCTTCCCACAGGGAAATTCAAGCTCCTGGGAGAAACTGGATAGGTGTGATGGCAGGGTGTCCCAGCCAGGGTCTCTGCTGTGTGTGCTCTTGTGCATCCTTGTATGTGTGTGTGTGTGTGTGTGTGCTCTTGTGCCACCCAGCCAGCTCAGCTGGGATTTCAGACTCCGAGGGGACGGGGTAGGGAAAACTGGAGCACATGAAGAGCCTTTTAAGGAGAAGGATTTGGTCTCAGCTGATGATTTAACTTTGCAGCAGGTCTGAGATATCACAGAGCCACATTTCTCCAGTTACTCTTTCACCCAGCTCAGCAAATGGAAGTTTCAAGCTCTCARTTCCTTCCCTGTCCCTCAGCACTGCTGGGGCTGGAGGGAGCACAGTTTGACACCAACACTGGGGACACCCCAGCGAGGCTGGAGGATGTGGCAGCCCAAATCACCCTCCTGCCAGCTACTGCAGGTCTGCCTGGAGGAACAGGGGTGGCCAGCATGTGCCTGGGCAGCTGCTGCCTRCCAGCCTGAGGAGCTGTCCCTCCCCACAGGCTCAGGTGAGGGATGCTCTGAGAGGAAGWGAGACATTGACCCCTCTCCCTAGTGAGGGAGACAAACCACAGTGTAGCTTTGCTCCAAAACAGCTCTCCCTGTCAGGCATGTGCCACCTGGAAGGGRGGGTTCTGCCTTCAGCATGACCTGCTGAGCAGACCTGTCCCTGATTTGGGTGAGTCCTTTCTAGTGCAGYACAGACATCATCCCAGCAGATCCCTCCCTSTCTCTCTCAGRTGTGCTGCTCCCAGGGAAACAGAAGAGGAAGGAGTAAAGCAGCACAGCTCTAGCACTCACCAAAGCTGAATGGATGCAACAGGCAGCTGCCTTTATAGACAAAAAATATGAAAGTTTCCTTGTCACTATCACTTCTCTCTTGAAAGGGGGGACAAGTACTGGAATAATCCTTCTTTGCCTCTCAGCATCTGTATATCCACCCCCCAGCCTGGCCCCTGCCCTGTTGCCATGGTTTTTGCAATGTTTTGCTGCAGTTTGGGTGGAGTGAGGGGGATGTCCCGGGACATAGCTGCCCATCTACCTGGTGGTGGTGACCCACACACAYGGTGCTCGTGTCCTGGCCTGTGACACCCCAGGACTGCGGCAGAAAGGGCAGTGTGCTGCTTTGAGCCTGAGCTCATTTGCTGTGGATGGCAGGAGAATGAGTAATCGAGGCTCTGGCTCTGAGTGCCCGTGCCCCTGGTCCTGCCAGCCTCGAGAAAGAGAGGCCCACGCTGACTTGGTCCCTGGCCCAAAATAAAATCAGTCTCAAGGCATTGGCTGCCCTCTTGGGTACAACTTTACGACCACAAATACCCAAAAAACCCACAAAATACTGAAACGTGATGAAAAACCAGAAAAAAAAATTTCAGCAGTTTCCCCACTGGAGCTGTTAACACGTTTTTGTGCACAGCCCGTTGTCACCCCTGTGCCTGAAACCACCTGATCCTGTCGCTTTCCAYAGGACTTCACCCTCAGCCTGCACCAAGAGCAGGAGCTGGTGCTCTCCTCACTGGGGCTGAGCCCATCCCAGCTTGGACAGGCTGTGCCATGGCAGTGCCTGTGTCTGGGAGGGCTTGGCCCTCACCTGTGGCACTTTTGCTCCCACTAAGGCATCATTTTACTTCTCCCCTTTGGCAAGTGGCCTTGGCTGGGAGCACACAGGGCAGCCCCATCTCCATTGACCAGGCAGGAGGAAGAGCACCAGCCACCACCCAAAYTCACCCTCCATCCAGCAAGCTGCAACCACACCCCCTTCAGACCCTTTTCACTGCCCTAAACCACACGGGACCGCTCTGCCCTCCACTCCCCGGGCTGTGGTGGGGCGCTGGAGGCCCGGGACACAGACCTGGACCAGGTCGGGGGTGAGGCGCTTGGCCCGCAGCCACTTCTGGAAGCGCTGGGTGCGGCGCAGGGCGCGCTCCAGGCTGCACGTCTTGGTCTTGAGCAGCGAGGTGCAGATGCGCTTGTCGGCCCGGTCGTGCTGGTACTTGGAGGTCAGCCGGGTGATGTCCACCAGCCGCCAGCTCTTGGCATCGTCCGTGTAGTTGCCCGAGTARCTGAGCAGGGAGCTGGGGGGCAGCTTTAAATGAGAAGAAAGCCAGGTGTCAAACCTGCCAAACCAAAACGAGAGCCCCACGGAGAGCGGGTTAACGGCTGCACGGATACCTGTGCAGTGCCCGCCCCGCCGAACTGCTCCAGGCCAGGCCCAGGACCTTCCTGCCATGGCTGAGCTGCTCCCCCATGGCCTTCCTGTCATCTCCAAGCTACTCCAGGCCAGCTCAGGGCCTTCCTGCCATTCTGAGCTGCTCCAGGCCAGCCCAGAGCCTTTCTGCCATGGCCGAGCTTCTCCAGGATAGACCCCATGGCCTTCCTGTCATCTCCAGGCTACTCCAGGCCAGCTCAGGGCCTTTCTGCCATGGCCGGGCTGCTCCAGACCAGCCCCAGGGCCCTCCTGTCATCTCTGAGCTGCTCCAGGCTGGCCCCACAGCTTTCCTGCCATGTCTGAGCTGCTCCAGGATAGCCCCAGAGCCTTTCTGCCATGGCCGGGCTGCTCCAGACCAGCCCCAGGGCCCTCCTGCCATCTCCGAGCTGCTCCAGGCTGGCCCCAGAGCCTTTCTGCCATGTCTGAGCTGCTCCAGGACAATCCCAGGCCCTTCCTTCATGGCTGAGCTGCTCCAGACCAGCCCCGGGGCTTTCCTGCCATCGCCGGGCAGAGGCCAAGAGACCCCAAGAGACCCCAGCAGGGCAGCCCCAGGCATTGGAGTGAGGTGAGCAGGCTGAAACCATCAGAGGAGGAAAGGTGTTTTGGTAAAAAAGTCCTTCTTCGCTTCCCACTTAAACCATCCCTTGTGGTGCTGTGGAGCGAAGGGTAAAATACCCAAATGGGGACTTTTGAGTAGAGGGAGGGAGGAAAAGGAGAGGGTTGCAGGGTTTTGATTCACAAAGAATTCCCAGTGTTTCTTAATTTCTTTAATCCTAGAGAAGGGGGTCCCAAAAARGGAGTACTTGACACTTTAAAGGACCCACCTGATATTAAAACCTCCTCACAACAAATTGCCAAAATTGTCAACAAATTTGATATTTGGGAATATCAAAATGACCTCTTGTTTTGAGGTGGTGGCTTTGCTCAGTACTGGGGTCCACGTATCTCTGCCAGCATTCCAGCAGCTGGGATGAGTGAGCGCCCCAACAGCAGCAGAGTTTGGGGTGGGATGGGGGGACGGGGTGCGTGTGCCCTGGGTGTGCAGTGCCGCTGTAGCCATGGAGATCTCGCACTGGTTTGCTCCCCCTACACAAGCACAGCAGGGGAGCAGATGGGCTGGGTAATTAGGTAATTTTTTTTTGTTTCTGCAGCCCCCTCAGCCCTGCCCACACTCRCGTTGCACATGCCAGAGCTGAGGAGCRCAGTGCCTGTTTGGGGAGGGTGACTGTAACYGGCTCTTGGAAAATGGCCCAGCTCTGACCTTTGGTGTGGCCAATGTCCTGTCCTCGTTGCCTCTGAACCCTCCTGCCCTAAGCTCCTCACCCAAGTGCGTAGGAAAGCTCATCCTAATTTAATCTCACTGTAAATTAAAGCCGGCAGCTCAGAAGTGAAACAGGAGAGGTTCCCTGCAGGATTAGCCTAGCTGAAGTTACGTGAAAAGACAAGTCTGAAAAATTAAGCTGTTTTTTTTCTTTCAGCTTCCATTTGGGAAATAGGCACAGAGAAATTTGGGGGGGGGGGGGGAACACCAATTTTGTGTGATTTCAGGCAAATAACTGACTCAGTGACATGAGCCACCATCTGCAATCAGAGACTGATCAGATGATCCCTGCTGAAGGCAGCATCTCGCTCCCCTTCTCCACCACAGACCCTGTGCAGGTCAGCCCTGGGGCAAGCATGGGTGCCCAGGGTGGGGGAGAGCCTGGTGCTTCCCCTTTGGCTTTCAATTCTTGCCATGTGCCTCCTTCCAAAAATTTACTGTGGAGGCTGACCAGACTTGGGGGAGTCCAGCCCCATGTGTGAACAGCTTGGTGGATTTTACAGCATTTCAGCTCTTTGGGTGTATAACCTAATATGAAACTGAAGATTCCTCACAATTAAGGCACCTGAYATGATAACAAACACCCTGTTTGGGTTTGGTGGTTTTGTCTGGTTTTGAGCTAGGACTAAAGAAAAGAGAATAATAACTGGTGTGCCTTGCTGTGATTGTTGTGCATCAGAACCCCTCCCAGTGCCTAATCTGCTAAGCGGGCACAGCGTGCCAGGCACGTACAGGGAAGAGATGGCTCTGGGCTGGGCTTCTCTTTCTTTCCTTTTTTTTTTTTTTTTTTTTAAATTAAAGTTAAGCTCAAATATGCCCCGTGACTTGACGTGAGCTTGTGTGTGCAGGGGAGCTCACATCAGGCAGAGAGCAGGCAAGTGCCACCTCCTGCATGCAAGCAGCCCATGGATATGCGAAATCCAGGGCTGAGCATTAATTTGAGGGTGGATGGAGTGATTTCCTCTGCAGAGCTCTTGGGGGAGAGCCACACTGGCCTGGGAACCCGGCATGGGCTGCAGCAAGTCTGTATTTGGCAGCATTTCTGGGCAGCGCAGGGCTGGCCTGGCACATGTGCTAGATACTTTCAAGATTCATCATCAASTTGTGCTGTAACAACTCCCTCTCATGTGAAGTTTTTAATGCTCTGAGACCTTCAGTAAGATCTAAGTGAATAAGTGAGTCACAGATTGAAGGTTTTAGATCAACCCAGAACTAAATGCTGAAGAAATCCAAACTTGGTTTTCCTTTTTTTTCCTGATTCAAATGAAATATTTTGTTTCAGCCAAAATAATTTGCTTGCTTGCCTTTGTAATTTTACATTAAAAAAAAGTAAGTCAAGCCTTAAAACAAAACAAAACAAAACAAAACAANAAAAAAAAAAAAAAAAAAAAGAAATGCCATGAAAACCCCCATCAAATTGAAGCATTCCAGCTTTTTCAGGTTTCTTTCCTGTTATTTTTGGCCAATGCTCAGCATTGGCACGAGTCTGTGAATAGTTTTGGTCAGACCAGTTCTGTGRTGTTTTGAAAATCCAATATTTTACAAAAACTTTCACTGCACTCTGCTCTCCATACAGTTGGTAGGCAGGCTTGGTATTCTCATTTACAGATGGATGAAGTTGGGCAAAGATAAGGGAAGTATAGAACATTAGAGCATGGGATGAGTCACCAGTCATTCTGGGAACAAAACCCACATCTTCTTACAGTGAATGCATGTCAGAGCTCCCAGAAATTATGAAGAATTAATGAAGTATGTTCTAATGTGAATTAACACAGAGAAACCCAAGTGCCATCCACCTTTGCGAACATGTGGAAAGGTACATGAGGGTGGATCAAAGAGCGTAAGCACCGCTGAAATTTCCCTATTTTAACCTCCCACTTGCCAAAAAAACRCCCAGTTTTTCAAGAAATCAAGTGGGAGAACAAGTTTTACCCATGTAAAGGAGAGCCTGAAGCTGAGTGACTGCTCAGGAGAACATTTTTAAGTTCCCCTTCCCAAAGCACTCAGAGCAGAACTGCACGTTATCACCAATTTGTGGGAAGCCGATTGYGGGCTGGTGGGAGAGAAAGAGAAGTGTCTGGCTCAGGGAGCCCCTCTGTCCTCCCTGGGGGCAAAAACACTGTGTTCCCATAGGTTTGTGGCTCTGCACTCATGGACCCCAGTGGGATGCCCCACACCCTGTTCCCACTGCCCCCTGAAGGAAAGGCAGCGCGAGCTCTGCTGCTGTGGCTCACGTAGCGCCTCTCCCCACAGCYTGGGGCTCCGTGCAGCTGGAACCCCACAGCCAGAGGCACTGCTGCTGTTTTTGGCAGGGCTGAGGGAACCTGCACAGCCCCAACCTCCCCACTGGCCAAGAGGGAGTAACCAAAAGGGAGCTGCAGAAAAAAAAAAAAAAAAACAAAAAAAACCCCACACAGCTGAGCAGCAAAGGGGATGCAGCAAATTGGGACAGGGGCAGGAGCCAGCTACGGTGCCATCCTGCTCCAGGGAACAAAATGCAAAGTAGGCACTACCCTGAATGCACCTGCAGACCCACACAAGCCCCTCAAGCTCAGCTGACTGCAAACCCGGGCTGCGTTTTGGGATGGGAGTCCAGGCTGGGGTGAGAGAACCCCAGCACTCAGCCCTGCAAACCTCACTGCCCGCTCTGGCACTGTGGAGGTGGAAAGGGCAAAGTGAAAGGACCAGGACCCCCAATGTGCAACAGCAAGTAGCACTCTGGCTGAGCAAAACTGGCTTTTTCCAGCAGCAGTGGGGGAAGGATGGATATCTGGTATTACAAGTCCATCCCAGACAAAACATTATGGTTTTACTATGCTGMGTTTTATAGGATAGTTTAAGATAAAAATGGTGATTTGTCTAATACTATAYTACTTACATTATAGCATTAAAAATACAATTTTACTATAATCATTTCTTCTCCCCCAGGCTTTTATATCTATAAAAGAAAGTGCATATGGCTCTATAAATCATATCAGACCCAATAAACCCTTCCTCTGYCRAGCACTGCCTYTAACTTTCTCCTCAATACAACTGGCAACATTTTCYCTGCTGTCGTCAKATAYACTCAACTTTTGAGCCTAAAAATGATTGGATTGGTCTGATGATCTCTTGGACAGTGTGTGTCTCATCAACAGCGAGGCAGATGCAATTTCTGCCTTCAAGTTCWCACACAAATCTCCCCAAAATGTACCGGTAATTTTGCCACGTGCTATTTTCAAACGTGTGGGTAACATCATGTGCAGAAGTCCTCATGCCTCAGGCAGTTTTGGATCACTTTTGATCTTAGTCAAAATGCACGTGAAATTCTGCACATTCACGTTGTTGCACCTGGCACAAAATTATATGGCATGTTTATATGTTTGTAGTTAACATAGTCTGTTGGGAGCACACAAAGCTAAACCCTCTTTTGCCTTTAGATTGTTGCTCATAATATTTCCAGTACTTCTAAACAAGCTGATTCCTTCCTTTCCTCTTCCCTTCTTCCCCCAGCWCTTGAATTTTTTCAGAGCCGCTCTCTAGGCAGAAATTTGTGCCTCTTACTCCTGCTTTCAAGTTATAGTTCAGGGCTGAATTCTGATCATGTTTKCTTTAAAAGAAAAGAGACAAAGCATCATCTTACACACATTAATTAAAACACTAAGTGCTGTGATGGCAACTGGGAGCTAAGTTGCTCTCTGCATTGTTTATCGAAGTACCTGGAAATTCTAACAGACAGCTTTCAAAYTGATATACAGAATACTTTAAAAATTACTCTGCTGAGTTTCTGACCTTATTTCCTCTTTAAAGAACTTCTTGCATATGGATGTCCCAATGCAGGCGTTGCATTTATCAAGTCCCAGGAACGTCCGGCCAAAGCTGTAGCTGGGTTTGACGTGGGGCACAGACGGAGAAGCTGTTGCTGCTGTGGAGGGGTTACAGCTCAGAGCCAAAACCAGGAGCAGCATCAATGGATCTGCAACTCTGGACCAAAGACAGCATATCCAGTGCCCCATCTACAGTAGCGAAGAGCTCTGCTTTTTCAAGTTGTCCGTCTCTAGGATTTCAGCCTCTTTTTGATTGCTTCAGCCTGCAGTGGTGAGCCCTGAAACACAGCAACACACTCTGGGTGCAGGAGACACTGCTGCAGTCCCCATCCTGCAGCTGGTCACTGGTTCTATTGGCCTGAGGCTTGGGTGGGAAAGATATGCTGCAGGGTGGGGAGAAGGAAATACATGGAGGATGCAGATAACTTGGGTTGCCATGGTTATCTTTCCTTTACTTGTTGCAGCTGCTTTGGCCCCTSCTGACCCTCGCATCAGCCGACTTGGAAAACAACATGAAGAAGTGCTCATCTGCTTCTGGTGCAGACAAATGAAGGATATCCTGTCGCTGGAGAAAAGGGCACATGTGGGACACTTAGTGAAAAGCTGATTTGGAAGGAGTAATGGCATGGCAGAAATGCACATTTGATCAGAAGCCAGACTCTTGGTGTTGCTTTATGCCTGGAGATTTGTGATGGTGTGTGGCTTGACTTCTTGGATGCTTTCTTGGCTCGGTTTGCCCTTCTCATAAAAGCACTGGAAATGTTGTCAGGTGGAATCAGCGTTGTGTTGTTTCTGGAAAACAGCATTGTGAGAGCACCACAGTGTCTTATGCCACAGAAAGCAGGAAGCCTGAGGCTTTCCAAAACTCCTGACCTCTAAGCCCCTCTTGGAAAATGGGGCTTTCAGTGAGACTTCAGTACTTCTGAATGCCTTTTCTTGATGGTCCTGGCACTGGAAAGAAGSTAGAGAAAGGGATGGGGGCTAACTCAAGAGAATGTCAGAGATTTCAAATACACTCAGAGACTACTGTGATCACACCAATAGCTGTTCTCATTAGGACAAAGACTTGGAAGTCATGGAAGCTGGTGGCTACCCATTGTGGCCTGGGCRCTGGGCACAGGATTATGCCAGGAGCTCTGGCAGGCTGCTGCTCAGGCCCAAGGAAGCACACCTTGAAGGAGCAAGTGGTACCCCAGCCCCAGGCAGCACAAATGGCTTTGGTCCTTTCCTGTCCCCAGCTGTCATGCTTTCATTGGCACCTGAGGCTCTCCTGGGCCATATCTCACCAAGGGAGTTATGAGGAGCAGACTCCAAAGGAGGCTTTGGAGACTTCTTATCCCCTCCAGCAGGACTATTCCCACCAAGTGGCCAAGCCATTTCCTGGCACATTTTTAATGGAAGAAAAGGTACATTGTAGCCATCTTTTATTATCCACMTCTGGCATTTAACCTGATGGGACATGAGAGTCAGAGGGGTGCATGCTGGGCTCTGTGACTGTGCCTCACTTTCTGGAGGGGCTGCTGGGTGATCCTAAAACAACTGTTTAAAGCAAAGATGTTCTTTAGCTGTGGCACTTGGGAGATCCAGGCTCTCTCCTCAGCTCCAAGCCCTTGTGGGAGGTTCCTCCTGGTGCATCCCTATGCACAAAGWGGAGATGGTGACATTTAGGGCTTTTCTCAAGGGTACAGCACAGACAGAGGAGGATAATGAGCCCTTCTAAGAGGACAGGGGGATGTAATGGACCCTGAAGAAATTGCAAAGCAGAGGGGCTGGRCAGTGCTAATGTACCAGCAAGTGCATTCAGCACATGACCCTGCATGAAGCCATCATTGCATTTGGTCCTATACTCCAGTGGAAATATGTTGGTGGAAAGAGACAGAGGCAGAGCTAAACACCAATATTAGCTGTTTCCCACTTCCAGAAGTTTATCCCTGGCCTTTTCTATTGCCAGTGCACTGTTCCTTTCCCCTCTGCAAGGATCAGCCCTGCCCACTGTTTCCTGCCACTAGCTCTGCAACATTGCCCGTTCTCACAGCTCCCTGCTGAGCTCTACCCCAAATGGCACCAAAATTTCACCCCAGCAATCTGTCTTTGTCTTCATTATGTAATACCTAAAACACGTATCCTTCAGTTTCCTTACTMATTCAATTGCTTTCCTCCTGTTTTCCATCCCCTGTTGCAATTTTAGGAGCAGAGACACAGGGTTCCATCTCCTGGTGCCTCAACCTGCGCTGCCCCATGGAAAGGGGAGGTTTTCAGCCTCTGGGTGTGGTAAGCGGGTCTTTCTCATGGCAAACCCCCGGCTCTGGCACAAAAACTAATACATGGACAGCAGGGTTTCTGTGCTRTTAATGATGCCTCAATGTCTGTGTTGTTCTTACACTGTCGTGTAGTTCAGGCACAAGTAAAGCAATGTTTATCCCTCCCGAGGAACGGCACGTGTAAGTGTGCTTTTGTGCAGTGCATCACACCTGCACCACCTTGAAGTGTTATAAAAGCAACCTTTTATTCAAAGAACGGGAACTGCACCATCATATCCACCTCAACTTTGCTGTGGGCATTTGCATTTATCCCCAGGGTCTGAGCTCCCTCCTTCCCTCAAACATTTCTGCTCAGGTTGGRCAGCCCCCAAGCACAGATGATGTGTGTAGGAAACACTCATTCATGCTCACAGCACTGAAAACCCAAGGCTTGCAAATGAGTAGATCTACATCTGAATTAGCCCAGAGAGGCAGGTGAGAAACCACGTAGAGCTGAGTGTTGTGAGAGAAGCTGCGCCTCTGAAAGCAGCCTCTGTTTTGCTGAGATCCTTCAGCTGGTAATGTCAAATCTGGATTTGTTTTCCTTTCCTTCTGTTGACATGGCATGTAGGTATTCTGGTCAGGTAGTGAACAGCYAGGTCTGCAGGAGCCTTGTAGATCTTCTCCTTGTGCCAGGATGTGGGATGTTCAGGGTGTGGATCACAGGTGTCTGCTGGAACGAGGGGTTGGCCCCAATGACCTGATGGGAACTTCAYGAACCTTTTAACGAGAGACTCCTATGCAACACCATTAACCATGTGAGAACAYGGCCCTAACAGAAAAAACTGTTCTAGAAGTTATAATTTCTAAAAATTTCTAAAAAAGACCAGTATTAATGTACTGCCCTATCAAAGTCAGACCAGCTGCAGAAAAGCTTTTGGAGTGGTTTCTACCAACAGAATGTTTCTCTAGCCCCTGTTCCCTGATGTGTCCCTTCTACACATGCCATGAGGGGTGTGGAAACACACCCAGGAGCACAGCCCCACTTCTGGCCACAACCACATTGGCAGTGGAGCTCCTGGGTCCCAGAACCACCCAGTCCCTGCAGAGAACAGCGGGTTTGGGTTGGTGTGGCTGTGATCTCCAGTTGCTCATCGAGGTGGGAGAGAGCTGCCCTCCCTTGCTGCTGGCTCTGGWGGAGATGAGGAGAGCACAGGCTGGTTTTTCCCAAGTAATCATAGGATGAAATGCACCTTTTCCTTAAACCTCCCAGTTTCCCCAAATCCATTAATATAAACCAGCTGTCCYCCACTGTCTCTTTCCACCCCAGTTTATTTTCTATCTTTCCTGATCCATGCCAGCTGCCCCCAGGGGTGGGTTTCATGCCCACAGAGCCTTGCATCCTCCCTCTCCCATCTCATCAGGGCTGCTGGCTGGCTCACTCCGAGCACAATGTGGTGCCAGTTCCACACTCTGGATCTACCTGGGATACTGGAAATGACTTTGCAGAGCAGGAGAGCTTTTTAATTAGYTAAAATTAATGAAATAATTTGGGATAATCACCACTAAGTGTTTGAAAACAGCSCAGATGCAGAGGATCAGAAGGTGCAGTGCTGACACTGCCACCAGGGTGTTTGCTGTTGTTGACCTGCATCTGCTCACAGGGATTTTGCTGCTTGGCCAAGCTAAACAGCAGGTTTTGGGTGTCACAGCATCTCATCTTCCTCTTCAGCCCAAGTTTGCAAAAGGGCCTTCTCAGCTCAGTGTGGGGTTGCTGAGCAACAGGGCATTGCTGGGCGGGTTGCGGGAGGGCTGCATCTCRCTGCCACGCACAGAAAGGAAAGAATAGATAGGAAAAATCAAAGTTYTGCTGGAAGAGGAGAGGCTCCTGCTCTTCCTGAGGTCCTCAGTAAGCCCTGCCTGGGTCTTGCTGCCTGCAGGGCCCGGATAAGACCTTGGCTGCCATACAGAGCGGCTTTGCAGGACAGGATGGAAATCAGCTCAGGGTGTGGTGCAGCATGATTATTCTTAATAGTATTTTTCATTAATCACATCATTAAACTATTGCCAAATAACCAGTACAAAGTACCAGTTTGGTATCAAACTGCTTGTCRCTTCAATCCCAGTTCAGGCTGGATTTGTGGATGAATAGCTAGAGCAGCTTGACACATTTTCAATTCTTTCAAAGCAAAAAATGTGTCTCTYTGAATGCTACAAAACTCACAGCACTTGGGAGGATGCGATCACTTCCTTTTTCTCTGTTTTCCTCACGATTGCATGATTATGAAAGAAACATCTGTTTTGAAGTGATCTGCAGCAGAAAATTTTTGTTCCAGTTGGATTTGTAATGGACAACTTCTGTTATAGAGCCTTATTCTCCCCACCCTGCTTCTTTCCCTTTTCCTTTTGCTGAAAGAGAAAGGAAGAGGAGGGAAAAACAACTCCAGCAAACAAACCTCACTGCCCAGACTACAAATACAGACAGAAAAAGGGGCCACTGAGGTGTGGGTGGTGTGAAACACCACAGCTGAACTGGCAGAGATTGTTTGCACTTCAATTCTGTTTGCGAAGGTTTGATGCGTGTGTATGGATTTTTCTACATTTTAAATCAATGAAAATACTAAAAGACAGATACCAATTAGATTTTTTTTTCCCCTCACCAGGGAATAATTTCTATTGTTTGATAAGTTTGGATGAAATTAATCTGAAGCATCGATAATCCTGTATGTTAATTATATTTAAAAAATGTATTGTTCTGTATGTGCAGTATTTTTGGATTCTCCCTGACTCCATTCTTCTGCGGCAGAAGAGGAAACCTGTTATTCTTTGGGAAGTCTGTACATACTGGTGGGCAACTGGAAGAAAAAGCCAGTGAGAAGAAAAGCCTCAGGCACTGCAGCCAACAGATAAGGCCAGTTCTGGTTTGTGAGAGGCTGAAATGTCAGTACAAAAGGCCACTGAATGCTATCAGCTGCTGTGGTGTCTGCAACATTTATGGGAGACCGTGCCAAGCAGCAAAAAGTGTGGAAGAGGATGCTGAATTTTGGTGCACCAGTGTCCACAGACAGAAAATGAGATGCAGCAATCTYGAGCCTAAGGGA